TAGACAAAAAGACATTGATAAAATAATAGAGGGAAATTACCGAAATTACGTCATCGATAAACTCACGTGTGAGATTATGGAAAATAAACCACTCGGGCCCCGGAAGTAGTTTTTATGAATTTTACAAGTTGTATATTTTCCAGTAAAACACTCGTGTTTATATAATAAAATGAGCTAATGTGGGATAATAATTCTTTTCTAGAATGTGGTTTAGGGACCATTTTCTTAAGCCCGTTTTTATGGTTTAAAACTTAAAATCAAGCTAAGTAAACATTTTTTACGTGTTCCACACTTTATTTTCATCTAAAAAAAAGTGTATTTACGAACTTTTCCTCGAGTTTGCTGACAGAGGTTTTAACAGCAGCCATTTACGAAAAGTGTTCCCAGTCTATTTTAACCAAACTGAAAATATACGTCAGTTTCAAAAGATAAAAAACACGCAGACCAAAAACAGGAAACCGCTGACAATTGGTACTTTGGCTCCATTGCTGCCATTTAATAAGTTTCTATTGCACAGGTCACTTTCGCAGCATGCGAAACCACACTTTCTGACGGTGGGAGATACCTGTCTGTATCTCTTGCAAATGTCGTCGTTGCATACCGATTTCATGGTGCACTCTCTTTGAAAAAGCCTGTAAGTTCCATGATTTGAAAATTCTGCATCAACTTCAAACTGTAGACAAGAACTTGAGTTTGAACACGTGGTAACGTTTCCGGGATCACAGTCATCCCAGCTTTTTGCTGAAACACACCTGTAGCACTTGATCCCGTGTCCTACAAAAAACAGAGAAATCACAATTACAAAAGCTCATAAGGGGTTAGCCACTTCTTTTCAGAGGGGGGTGGGAGCGGGTTTGGGTGATTTGGCCGGAACTCACGATTTTTTTTTTCAGCCCCTTCTAGGCTTTGGTAGATTGTGCTAGTAATCATTATCCTAAAAAACAAATTAATTAATTGATTGGAGGAAATCTAAGCGCTCAGAGCATAGTTGCATGCTCTCATTCATCCTTCTCCTGCCCCGCCGCCTTACTCCCTCGGAGAGCTTGCTCGCAGGCTACCAGCTGTGTTATAAATGTAAAGAAAAAGCCGTTTGAGAGGGACACATTATTATCCCTCTCCAAGTCCAGATATAAAATGCCAGTTCTTATAATAACACTAAGGAAATGAAGTTCAGTGTGTCAGTCCATGGAGCATCTTACTAGAATTTTTTTTAAGCCCACTGGCAGTGGAGCTGGTTGGCTTCAGTGTTAGTTCCATCTTATTCATCTCCATAGCTGAGAACTAACAGTTGTTTTGTGAGGAGCAAATTAGAGTCACATCACAAGTCGAACGATTCTCAGCCAGTCATTAAGGTAGATCTTAGTTGTTTTGAGCACCAAGAACGCATACAGCACAAAATAAAATTATAATCTATGCCCTTAAACTAATAATCTCACTTACAAACAGATCATTTTTAAATAAAGATATGATCGTCGCAGTGGTAAGTGTAATTTTTAAATTTTTAAATATATTTTTTCGTTCACGCAAAAAAAATATACTGCGCAACTTCAACGAGATTTGAACCCATTGCTTCTTCGTTTTTTAGCGCTGCAGTGCTCTACCATTTGAGCTATGAAGACCCATACACAATATTTTTTTGCAGCAGCGGGAGTTTCTATTAAAAGTTAATTCTACTGATTTGTAATTCATCAACTCGGTTGTTTTGTATTAAGCTTTAAAGCTCAGGTTTGTATTTGACTCAAACAATACCTATGGATTGGTCATAATTTTGATAAACAATTAATGAATTTTATGATTTAGCAAGCGTACCAGCAGTGCTACTTGACTCAACTTAATCCAGTTTGACAGTATGAAAGTAAAAGATGAGTGAATGTTTAATGACACTAACTTTGAAGCTGATATCATCGTTTAGATGTAATCTTCGTATAACTAACAATGATTACAGTGACTGCAGTCATTGAAGTAAATTAATCTTGCATATAAATGAGTCAAATGTTCTTTGAGAAGGGGCGGACATGGAGTTTGTAGTCAAATTGTTTAAAATTGATATTAATTCATTTGTTAAATGGAAGATAAAGTGAAATCAATCCAAAGGGAGAAAGTAAATTCTTTCTCACCTTTGCAAGAGCCATAATGGCTCATGTCCTTTTCAATATTAATAAATCTTTCCGGATTATATATACTCCCTACACGTTATTGACTGGCCCACTATGATTAGCTCAGTGCACTTTTGTGAAACGTACATAAGGGGAAAAAAGATTATGCTTGTTTTTTTGTTGTTGTCTAGCAAGAGCCATAATGGGTGTGTCTGGTTGTCCTCGGGTCCATTGCTTTTTTCGCCGGCTTTTCCTTTTATTTGCGGCCAATGTTATTCCTGGTTCCAATGGAGTAGAGCTTCTAGAACGTAAACTTTGTAAACAAATTTGGTGACTTTATTTTCTATTTAGTAGGAGGTCGTCTCTTGCAACTGGTATTTTCGTCGTTAGCGGGTTACCTGGGATAAGCATTTCATCATCAGAGTCCTGTTCAGCAAAATGTCTAAGCTTTCTCGAATAGCGCCTGCTCCAGAAGATACATTCATTCATTCATGTATTAGTTTATTCAGATTTACAATGTTCTGATTTTCTCACTGCCCACAAATAGCAAGGGCTAGTCTAGGTGGGCAGTGTCTATATGAAACAAAATACGCACTGCAAATGGTATTAAATTGACAAGTCAACAACAGTTATTTAAGCTTATGTAAGTTGTACAAAAGGTAACGAACGGAAGAAAAGTTACGTTAAAAACATTGCTGTGCTGACCTTCCTCGCAAGTTCATGAACGTTTTTCTTTCCCATGTGAAATTTGCCTATGTGTAAGTTCAGTACCTTACAACATGATTCCTTACCTGGCTCTTTTAAAGGGTTTATCGCCAAAAATTACATCTGGCCCCAATTGTTCAAAAGGTAAATAGCGCAATCCACCAGATAAATCATTACCCATCGGATAACGCAATAGCTCACTTCGGAAAACAGTGAAAGCCTGGGACCTAAACTAGGCGCGCGCGCATTTATGAATTTATTTGGGGGCACGTGAATGTAAACAAACTTGGCGGAAAGCGAAGTAGAATGTTGCAGCGGGGTTAAAACAGCTCAAAATACCAAAACGTAAGGTGGAATTGAAAACATAAAAATGTGAAGCTGAAGGAAGATGTGCCTGGGACGATTTTACTTCGAGAAAAACCAGAAGAATGCGAATCCGTGTGTTATCGGAGATCAACTTCAAATTAGCGTTCTGAAGCAAACATACATATTTTTGCCTTTGGTATTCTACAAAATGCCAGACCAGGGAAGTTCCTGAAAATATTTGTGCACAAAGGCACACAACAACTTGCATGTCTCGTCAAAATTCAAGGTGGCTGCTCGACTTGTCCCCCAAAACGATCCCATATCACTCTTTCCGAAGTAAGCTATTACTTTTCCTTAGATAGCAATTTTTCCGAGTGATAGCATTATTCATCTTTTAAACAACAGGGGCCTGGTTCTGTATGTTTCCGACTATACTCATTTTTCGCCATATTCAGACTGAGTTTATTGGCAGCAAGCCACGTCTTGATACATACATAACGATACAAACTTATTAACATTTCCATATTGGCTTCGGAAGCGGAAAGAAACTGATTGAAATAGTAAAACTGATTAAATAAAGATAAAATTCTCAAACAAATACTCCTTAACTTATCCCTTAAAAGTTTTAAAATTTATGATGTTTTTCAGTAATTTATCTAAGGAGTTCCAAATCTTAGTTGTCCTGTAGAAAAAAGGTCTTTGACCACATGCAGTACGATCTCTGACTTGGGGATGTTTAAAACCGTGTTCTATAGCTGTTCACGGCTTCAACTGATTCGCCAGCTACTGTTTCTGGTGGAACGACTGTTTTAATTTTTTATTATAAATTGCAAAGCAGAAAAAAGTAAACTCTTTTGTGCCAGCTATTAAAAAGGAGTTTAGCTAGTGTTTAACAAAACCGTGTTGTAACCCATTTTCAGTTCGCCCAATGCTTTTGTCTAAACACCATTTAACGTAAAAAGTTTCATGAAAGCATATTAAAAGGCGTAGACTCGAAAAGCACTTATTTCTTGAAACAACCCAAGTGCTATAGAAAAGATCTGGCGGTCTAAATATTAGCTAAACCGCTGCCTAAGTGAAACTTGGTTTAAATAACCGACTCTTTATTCTTAGAGTGCTAAATTCTTAAGAAAATCTGCGAAGCGCAGCTGTTGGCTCAGACGGTCGAGGGGACATACAATTACGAAAGGAGGCACTGTCTTCATTTGTCTTTTCATAATGTATGCGCTGAAACGACGTGATACGTGATAATTTTGTACGCCCTAACAAATACATAATATCCCCGGCAACTCCAATCGTATTGCTGGTTTTCAGTTGACGTCAAGATAACCATGCTAAAACGTATCTTTGTTGCGTAACAGTAATATTATAAGGGTTTTTATGGCATGTGGATTCAAGATATCGTTTTTACGGGTCAAAAATAGCAATGAATAGTACAAATCACAACGTCTTGCTTTGTCGTCATATTTATGGTGTTTTCTCAGCGCTTTTGATCGTTTCAGCGCGATTCAAGCGAGTTTTAGTTTTGCCATTGTCTTTTCAACGCTATATAACTATGTCATTGTTATTGTTGTTTGATTAAGTTGCCATTGTCTTGTTGAAAAGCCTGCACGCCACTAGCCTCCCACGCAGACCTTTTTAAGGGTTCGTTACGCGTGCCTGTCCCACGAACATAGCATGGTTTTGCCCATGTCTCTAAGGTGGGTTTTGTCCATCCTATATTTAAAATGCGATACTGATTGGGGACACGTGATACGGCGTGATTCTGTGGTGGATGTTGGAGTTCAATGTCGGGGTTCTAACACAGAGTGAAGTGAGCGGGTATTTTTCAGCAGAGCTTCTCTGTTCGTTTCGCCATAATGATGGGCCACAAGAATGGCGAAACAGCTGTCTACGGCTACAACTCCGCGCTGTTTTGGGTTCTTTCGTTGTCGTATTGATGAATTTTCACCTATCTTAGTACGATAAGCTTGCAGAATTCAATGTGTCTATTATGATACTACGCTTATTAGAAGAGCATTTAAAACCGAAGGGATCAACAGCCGTTGTGGGTATAAGAACAAGGCTAGGAGAGATATTGGTTTAAAATAACCAAAATACAACGAGGTCAGGGCTCTGATTGAGCGAGAATAGCTGTGTTTGGATGAGGAAATATAAACACACTTATGACGTTAAATTCTTTTCCAGTCCCCTGCGGGCAAATTATGTAACCACGATTCCAAAGAACACGTTTTGGGCTTAAATATGGAGAAAAATTCCTTTCTTGCAATGGTTAAAACTTAAAAAGACTTTGCAAGCACGATGTCACAGCTAACTCCTTTAAGTTCATTAAGCGCGTAAAATACATATTTTGCCAAGATCTTTCTGCAAAACATTAAGAACCAATTAGGCGTAAAATAACTTCTTGTACAAAACTTTGCAGCTAGTTTCAAGAGAATCTTTTATCAGTGCCTGTTTAAAAGAGTTTTGGTCCTTTTTTCATAAAAAAAGAAAAAACAAACCCAAATTCGAATTTGAGAATGGCACCACGGCTTTTACACAACGAAAGCGTTGGGAGAAAATATGTACCCGTATTGGATTAAAACTAGAATGGGATTATATAGTTTCTATCAACTAAACCTCGTTTAACAGCAAAAATACCCCCTTAAACTTTAATTTAGTTTTTAATATTTTTTAGAGGACTTAAGGGAGTTGGGAAATTCTCGAAAGATATGCAAACCCTAGAAAGACATGAAAGTCCGAGGAAAGGCTTATTCTCTCAATAACTCTTGTGTTTATATCCAAGGCGATGCAATCACGGAAAAAGTTTCCCCCAGTGTTGCGCAAATACAATCTTTCGAAATCTCTTAACCCTAAATAAACTCACATTCCGTTTTATTCAGTTGAAAAGCCATTCTGCGGGGACGAGGCTTTTCATTTGGACTATTGGTGGTCGTTGCACCTAAACCAGTTTCTACGTAAACGACTTGCAATTTCATACTATTCAGTAAGGTTCAAAGATAGACACCTAGGTTACAACAACAAAAGTGCATAAAACATTCAAAATGACTGCTAAATGACTAAATGACAGCTAGAGCTTTTTGAGGCAAATTGCATCGATGTAGCAGCTCTTATCAAGTAAAATATGCATATATGTTTAACAGTGCCATACAGTACTTACCTACGGAGATACAAAAGGCGAAAACCAACAGCGAAGCAAACAGAAATTTCATTTTGTAGGGAGCTTGTCAATGAAGATCAAAACGCTGACAAGGTAAAAAAATCTTCAGTGCCGCACCTTATAACAAGTGGAACGTTTCTCAGCCAGACAAGAGACGCAGATATATTGAGTGAAAGAGCTTGGCCCCCATGTGCGTCAGAAAGCAATATCCAATACGCGAATCTTTGCTGACGTCACTGCTGACATTTTTCCTCTTTCATACGACTTAACCCATGGAAGCATCGCCGTATGTACGAATTAAGGTTAATTATAATTTGAGCAATTAGTCCAATTTTCTGCTCTTTACAAGCAATAACGTCAATTTAGCCATGCATTCTTTGTAGAATTTCGAGTTTTTCAAAGAGAATTTTTCCGAAACTGTACCGTATATCGCGTTCAAAATTTCACGGATAACTTAAATCGTCATGCTCTTTCAATATTCAGAGAGTGTATTTTAATAGCTTGATAAGAGTGGATTTCAATGATCGCTCACTGAGGCGTTGTCATTCTTTACGGTGTACTTCACAAAAAAAAGACTGGACTCGGGTGCTCCAACGTTGAAGCTGTGTGGGTAACAACAAAGTAAATAAAATAAGAATTACTAGAAATGCGCGCCACTCAAGTTAAGCCATGACGTTCGGTGTAGGGAACCGGATTTGTGACCAACCGGAAATATACAGTCGTAAAGACCTCTACTGACTTGCTTTTTTCTCTTTTTTTTCCTTCTTCTTCTTCTTCTTTTTACTCTTTGTTTCATTGTCTCGCTTATGTGCGTTGCAAAATAAACTAATCTGTATCCTCAAGCGAGGCATGACTCTGACGTTTTAAGCTAGTATGATGTAAACACACACAACGACCAGTTCAACCTTTAAAACACAAACATCGAGTACAACACGATGCCACAATCATTATCATAATCAGACAATCATTATCATCATCATCATCCTCATCATCATCATCGTTATTATTAGAAATGATAACAGGACTGAGTGGAGTCCAATTCGGTTTGTAATCATACGAGTGATTAACAAAATCGGACGACCGCGTAGCGGGAGTCCGATTTGTTTAATAATTAACAATTATTCGCCGAAGGCGAAGTTAATATTGTTGAATAATCCCCGAGACGAAGTCGAGGGGATTATTCAACAATATTAACTGAGCCTGAGGTGAATAATTGTTTTAGTATCTTCACACGAAGTGATCTCAACAGAATCAGAAAGGAAACCATTAAAAAACCATTAGTTTGATTGACGGGTGAAAATTCATGCGTGAACACGAAGCCGTAAACAGTGGATGCGCAAAAGTTAGATCTTTACAGTATCTTCAAACATGGCAAATGATAGTTTTAATCCTTTTGTATCGAGTTTTGTAAGCTTTAGCATCAACGGTTTAAAAGAAAACGCCGAAAATTTAAATTACTACCCAATTCTGAGAAGAAAAGTATCTAGAGCTTTATTTGTTTCTGTCAACTCACCGTGAATGAGAAAGTTTTCTTCGTCGCTTCTTGCAAATGCTGTCAACAGCGGCTGCGATCAAGGTAAGCGTTGTTTATCTCCAAAGTTCTTTGCCTTGTTAACTTGCTGGCACGTACAATTTTCGAAAATATTTGCCTTCCTCTCTTCTCCATAAATTAACCTCTATTTATAGGCAAAATTGGTCTTGCGAGAAAATCCCGAAATCACAAAACAGTGACAAAGCGACCTCGTTTTCCTCTGTAGTGGTAAACATAGCTTCGAGCGTACAAAAAGTCAGCTAAAGTAAACCACTTCACAATAAATCACGCTGTTTAAACACCATGAAGTCTTTTCTTGCCTTCAAAGTCATCAGCACTTGGATATTCGTGTATTTTCAAACAGGTTTTACTTTGAAACTTTGGCAAAACACCCAGTTCACGACAGCGATTTTGCTCGGCTTTATATTCACCGCCTAGCGCGGTGAATATAACGTCATAGTCCGAGATAGCTAACCAATCAGATTGCTTGAATTACCAAGATCACTGAGTGTGTATATACTAACGAGTATTATGAAATTGGATTTTGCCGGTAAATTCAACAACATGACTTCTTAAATTACGTCATTATCTCAATCAAGTTATGCCTGTGATGTTGGAAGTGAATAGTACATTATTCTGTGTTATTGTAGTGGCCGTTTTATGAGTGGCCCTTATATAAATAATAATCATTATAAAACATCCTCAATAAACAATTATTATTGTTATTGTTGTTGCTGTTGTTGTTGTCAATGATGATACTTATTATTGGGTTAACTTGTCCTCCGACCATCCATTTCAAGTTTATTACAAAGTGCGACAGCTTATTTTCTTACAAATACCATGGTCTTTTATTACAAATTGTGATAGGTATTAAAAAGTGCGTCGATTATTACAAAGTGCGACAGAACATACACAGCTTAGAATAAAACACAGCCAGTAGCTTTTTGTAGCCGAATCTGGTTTTGTTTTTATACTCAAACCGAATTAACGCCACTGACCCTGAAAATAATTATAAACTAGTTGCAGTGGTTGAAATATTGAACTTATTAGGTTATAGTGCTCTTCAGCGTGGTGCAATCCTTGAGATAAAACTGGTTTGATTAAAAGAAATAGGAAATTTAATATTTTACGTTGCTTTGCTATGTGAACACAATAAAGAACGCAGTCCGCTTAAATGGGGTTTCTAGATCTACCTTTTACCATATGTAAACGTGTTTCATTTAGCCAGCTGCCATCTATTAGCTTTTTTGCAATGAGGAAATTATAATTAACTAATTTGGGACAATAATTCTCTAATCAAATGTGGTTCAAAAGTTTAGCCTCGTTTCCATGTTCGGTATTAGGTGCCATGTTTCAAAGCCTGATTTTATGGTTTAAAACTCAAAATCAAGCTTGGTAAACAATCTTTCCGTGTTCAGCATATACTTTTCATCTAAAAAGATGTATTTACCAACTTTTCCTCGAGTTTGCCTACAGAAGTTTAAACAGCAGTTATTAACGAAAAGTGTTCACAGTCTATTGTAATCGAACTGAAAACATACGTCAGTTTCAACAGAAAAAAAACATAAGACGGCAGACCGAAAACAGGAAAGCGCTGACAATTGGTACTTTGGCTCCATTGCTGCCATTTAATATGTTTCTATTGCACAGGTCACTTTCGCAACATTCGAAACCACACTTTCTGACGGTGGAAGATGCCTGTCTAAATCTCTTGCAAATGTCTTGGTTGCATACCGATTTCATGGTGCACTCTCTTTGAAAAACCCTGTACGTTCCAATACCTGGAACGTCTCCATCAAATTCAAGTTGTAAACAAGAACCGGTTGAATTTGAACACGTGGTGTCGTTTCCGGGGACACAGTCATCCCAGCTATTTTCTGAAACACATTGGTAGCACTTGATCCCATGTCCTACAAAAAAGGAGAAATTGCTATTAGATAGATAGATAGATAGATAGATAGATAGATAGTTTATTAAAACTGCATCGCAGCCAAAGGCTGAATTACGCAATTATTTACAAAAACAATACTTGAAAATTACAAAGATAATAAGTCAAAAACTGATTTTTAAGATAATATTAAAAATTCTATATAATACATTCATATTAAAATATGTTAAAATATAAAGCACGAATATAAGTGGGATAAAACTACAGCCCGGACTGTTTCGACATCGCATATATAAAAGTATTACTTGTTCTGT